GCTAATTGCAGATCACCCTCTGGTTTTGAGAGCCACTTCATGGCTTCAAGGGTTTCTTCACTAAAGGTGAAGATGTGCAAACACACACAAAATAAAATGGCGTTACAATGGTATAAAGGCTGTTCCCACCAAAACACCCTGGGAGTGTTACAATAATTGCCAAATCAACAGTATAGAGCTGGGCAAACCAGGGTTACTCTTTTGTTTAGAAGGAATGTGGCAGCATAAAGATGGGAAGTGCATAAAGTCATGTATGGGGTTCCCCAAGGTTACAGCACAGAAGAAAGGATCAACTTTTAGAAAAACCTGCTCAGAGAATTTCCCTGCCTCAGAGCTGCCATGCCATCATCGTGCACTAGGATTCATCCTGTCACTTAACTGCTGCAGGCACACTGGAGTAGTGAGAGTGGGTACAGGGAACTGAGGGGAACCACTGTAAACAAAGTCCATCACTGGTTTTCTTTGGGATGCCTTCTTTTCTGCTCCCCTCTCTAACCACGTTTGGGATGAGTAAGGGAACTCGACCTGAGCAAAGCATCGGGATTTGCAGCTGCTTTGCTTCACCAAAGCAGCCCAGAGCAGCAGCAGGCCCCTGGTTTGTGATGAGAGTTGGGCTTGGGGCTGTGCAAGGGGAAAGGGCTGCTCCTCCTTTTCATGCCTGCCAAGATCTCTCTTTGCATGCCTGAACTTGCTGGAGCGGAGTCTGGAGAAGGAGCCTCAGAGGCTTGTCAGGCACTCGTGCCTGGGTTAATCTGCAGCCACAGACTCCGTAAAGAGGACAGGCAGCAGGGCCTCAGAGCACCCACTTTTCTCTGTTTCATCCATCTTTCCTAGTGCACAGAGTCTTTTCAGTGAAACACAAAGGAAGGCAGTGTTTTTATGCACTTCTGAACCAGTTAGAGGTTATCTGAACCACATTGAGGTTATCTGGGCATCTATCTAGCAGGGTCTTTCTGTCATCAGTGCGTTCACAGGAGTCACTGATTTAAACACAAAGCATTTCACATGTAGCACAGGACATTTGCTGGGTTTTGGCTCCATGGAAATTCTGGGGAGGAACTCATTCCTCATTGGTGAAACCACCTAGGATAAAGACAAGATCAAGGGGGTGTGTCTAGTCTTTTAAGGATTCAGCTTTTCAAAATGTCTTGATTTTTGACTCATTGTCTGTTTTGCTTGGAAATCCCTGTAATTGCATTGCCCTCAAAGGATAAATCATGCAAGTTTGGGGTGAATGTGCTATTCACAGAATATGAGGAGTCTGAGCTGCAGAATTGCCTGCAGAGTGGCAATCCCAGGTTCATGGTCCTAGGCAAAGTCAGTGGTGCCATTAATTTATGAGTCGAGATACCAGCTGCTGTTGCAAAAATAAATAGGGAACCAGAAGGGAAAAAAAGCAAAGCAAGGCTCAGAAGGGCAGAGAAATGGGGAATGCAGGGGAAAAAGAATGACTTTGGAGCTTCTGTTCACCAGGACTTATCTGGAGGTTTCCAACAGTTTGAGGCTGCTTCTCCAGAGCATTGCTAGGTCTTTAGCTGCCTTTTTCTGTCAAATGTCTCTGCAAGACTTCTGTGCCAGAGGAAATCTGCTCTCATGTGCTGTCTGACTGCACGTGTGGTCAGGATAACAAAGCTCTCTGTGGCTGGGGAATTTCTGAGTCAGGGCTTGGGCAAAGAGTGCAGGAAACAGGGATACGGGCTCAACAGCTCTCCTGACTCTTTGGAGCAGACAGGAAGGAACAATTCTCCTCTCTACTCCTTTCTGTCCCAGTTAGCCCTGCTGTATGGGGCATCTGCAGCACAGGCATACCTTGAATGCAGCAAGCTTTTCTGCCCAGGGAAGAGAAAGTCGCCCTTCCATCAGTTCAGCATTGCCACATGCCACAGGCTTCCAGTGATGGAGTGATATGTATGCATGGCAAGAGAGTGGGTGGGCTTCAGAGGGGCGGAAAGAGGAGGGATATTTTTCTAGAAAAGGCATTAAAAATGATTTCCATGGTGAATACCTTCCCCACAGCCTGGCTGCAGAGAGCATTCAGCACAGAAACGGCACAGAACTGGATTTTCATTTTTGCTTTGCAGTTCACCTCTAAAGTGAAAGGGGACTTTTGTAGGGCTGAATGACTCTTCATGGACTTTGGTTCCTTCAGGCTTGCAGCGTTCAGGTTGCAGTTTCAAGGGTGCAGAGCCTTTTAAGGGTAGTCATGACATCAGCAGGAGTTTCCAGCCCCTGCACATGTACTCCCGAGAAAGTTTTTGTTCTCCTTTTGGTTGCAAAGGAGACTCTGAGGGGCAAGGTAGGGAGAACCTCATGCAACTCATGATGTGATGTCACCCTGACATTTACTGTACACCTACTCTTCCCTTATTGCTGCAAAAGGAAATAGAAAATGATCTTTATCGGTCCCAAAGTTTGACTGGATGTTTGACTGGCTGCTCTTTCGAGTCTCTCCAATAATAGTAAGAGCTGCACTGTGAGAACAAGCGAAGATGTGGTCAAAGATAAAAACACATGTACACACAAACACACACGGAGGTGCAGGAGAAGCGACTTCAGCAATCACAGCCTGAAGCGGGCTGCTTTTAAGGTGAACAGAAGGAAATACTTTCACACACAGCATGAAATCAAAGTGCACAAGTCGTTGCCAGAGGATGTTGTGAATGCCAAAAATATACATGCATTCCTGAAAGGGCATTGCTGAAAGGGCATTCCTGAAAGGGCAAGAACTCTTCCTGCAGGGTAGGTCTAGCAGTAGCAATTTAAATGCTGATGTCAAGAAATCCTGAATTTCAGTCTGCAAAGGTTGGCAAGACAAGGCAGTTTTTCTCCTGTGTGAAAGAATTAGTTTTTCTCCCATTTTGTTACCAGTTGATGGCTGACAGAGGTCAGTCTGCTGAGCAGCTCCTGGCCTCCCCAGCTTGGTTGCTCAGGATCTGCAGTGAATTATAAGGGAAAGTACAAGGAAGTGGGGGGCAAATATTGAAACTTTCCCTTTGGAAAACCAGTAGAGTGGCCTGTAGAGGGAAACCAGTTAAACAAGAAGTTGTTCATTTAATTACATATTCTATTTTATTTAACTAATATTAAAACATTCTATAGTGTCACTAGGACCTCCACAGTATTTTTTTTGTGTGTTTCCTACAGATTTAATGTCAAGTATGCAAGTGGGACAGGGGTGTATTTCACAGAATCATTTAGGTTGGAAAAGACCTTTAAGTTCTTTGAGCCCAACCTTTAACTCAGCCCTGCCAAGTCCATCTACAAACCATATCCCTAAGTACCACATCTACATGTCTGTTAAATGTTTTGTCCCAGGCTTTGTGTCTGGGCTTTACTCCAGCAAGCAGCCCCAAGATCCAGCTGTGGCAGGGCACTGGCTGAGCATCTGCTCCTCTCCCTCCAGCACTGGCAGCTGTGGGATTGTGAGCAAATCACCGGGCTGTGCCACAGGGGTCTTGCTGTGACAGTGGCCCCAGGGTCTGTGAGTCACCCCAAGGTCTGTGAGTCACCCCAGGGTCTGTGACTGGCAGCTGGTGGCTGCCTTGGACACGGGCTGGATGTGAATGCCGCAGCACCCTGGTCACAGCCTGAGTGCTGCACTCTGCCTCTGTACAGCGTGGCTGCACTTAGGCTGGGACTAGAGAGTGAGCCAGAACCAGCCAGACTTTGCTGGGCAGTGGCAGTTCTGAGGCTCAGCTCTGTGCATGGCTCAGCTCACACTTCAGGCTTTGCACGTGGGCCCTCCCCTGCGCCGATGGGTGATACTGCGCTGTCCCCATCAGTGACAAACCTTCTGTCAGGACTTTCCAGCTTCCTCTCCCAGGTGTGTTTACTGAGGTGTGTTCTGCAGGGAAAGGAGAGGGAATCTGAATATTTTCTGTCCTGAAGACAACTATTTCCTTGTTTTTCTGCTCTCTGTCAGTGGAGTGTAACAGATTGATATCCCACTTCCACCACTGGAGAGGAGTGCCTGGGCAGCAAGGCTGAGGCAAGCAGGACAGAGAGCAACCTGATCTTCTGGACTAACAAAGCCAGGTGCACATCATCCCCAGGCTTGCACTAACTCAGGTGCAGCACAGGGCTGTGAGTCCATGCTGGGTCACCTTTCAGCAGCAGCAGGAACTCCTTGCTGGGCTGCTCCCTTGGACGTGGAAAGAGGAAGGAGTGGGAAAACAAGGCGGATCACGAAAGCAGGGTGCTTAGTAGGGGAATTACTGCTCACATACTCAAAGTTGTACCTAATTTCACCCTGCAAGGGTCTCAACTTATTGTTGTCTGCACATGGCTGTACTCCAGGTATGGCACCAGCACAGTCACTGGCCAGGAGTTGGGGAACATCTGTGCTGGTTCCACGTCATCCCATGAGATTTCATGAAGATAAATTTGTTCTAGCTAGACTAGGCAAAATTGTTCATTTGCTAATGCTGGAAGGCTGATGATAGTGTGGCTGCAACCTTTGTGTATCATCGTAGGGTTGATTCTATTTTCTGGGATCTTGAATATTTTGGGTTTTTTTTCCTTTACAAAAAAATAACTACCAAAAAACCCCCAGCCCCTCTGAACAAATAGTCCACTGTGGCCCTGTTAGGCATGCAGAGAACCCACTGGAGAGTGACACAGATTTTCCAAACACCAGGCTCTGAAAAGGGAGAGCAGAGGAGATAGCAGTTTCTGCATGTATGTTTCTATCCCTGTTTTTAAAGGGGCCAGCAAAAATTCTGTCCAGGCAAGCAACTCTCCTGCCTTTGCCTTCAGCAATCCCTGCAGCAATCCTTGTGTGCCCTCTGGGTCATGATCCCGAGTAGGAGTGGAGCATGATGCACAAGGCAATGCCCAAGGATGGCTCCCCTCAGCGCAGAGCTGAAGCTGTCAAACAGCTCGGTGGCTGACTGATGAGGGATGTGAGCAGTCAGAGCCAAAAGGGGTGAGCTTTAGGCAACAGGTCCTGGCACAAGGCTGTACCGCTGACTCATTGACTTTTGTTTGCCCCTCCCCTGCAGGCCAAGCACTGGAGAAGAAAGTAGTCAGAAGCAAAGTGGGGGAAAAGGTCAGCCTGCCTTGTTGTCATGAGATCCCCAGCTCAGAAAGCCTACACAAGTACCGGGTCTACTGGCAGAAGAACATTACGGACGTGGTGCTGGCCTACTCAGAGGGGAGTAAGATCTTCCAGCACGAGCGCTACCAGAACCGGACAGAGATGGACCCCTGGAACCTCACCCTGTGGATCTCCCCCATGGAAATCCTGGACAATGGCTCTTACCAGTGCGTGGTTCAGCGCAACTCAGTCCTTGTGTGTAGCGAGTCCATCATCCTCTTTGTGACAGGTAGGTGGATTGCCTCCTGACACATGAGGCTCTCCAGTGCCAGCCTCTGGGGGTGAAGGATGCTCTTCCAAGCTTATTCATACTGTAGCAGATAGACTTTCATCAGGAAGCTTGAAAGAGTGTTACCTGCTTCCATTCCAGCAGCCTTCCTTCTTACCTTTCTAAAGCTACCCCAGGTACAGAAATTTTTTTCCCACCACCAACCCAACCTCCTCTCCTTGATGTCTTCCTCTTGTGAAAGGAAGGTGATAGGTGCCTGAGGCACCCCCTGCTGTCTTTGGGGCAAAACAAGACCAAGCCCTTAATGCCTGGCAAGCATTCAAGCTGAAAGAGAAATAGGGTGGCCATGGCAGCATCCCAGCCCTGAATCCAAATCCCTGTGGAACTAGCTGCACTGCAGCTCCACACCCTAAGGCTGAATCCATCATGGAGCTTTGAGGCTTTTTACATTAAAGAAGCTGAGTTCCTTTGTTCAAATGAATCTGAATCTTCTCTTAGAGGCCACAAAAAGTTCCACTGACATTTTCCATTTCCACCGGTGTTTCTGTGGCAATTGATTTCAACCAAAGACAGAGATAAAAAAAAAAAATATATATATATATATATATATATACATGCATTTGAATACCTTTAACAGCAGAGAGTTACATGAATCTTCCAGACAAGTCAGTGAAGGAGCATTCCTCATCTGGAAGGAGATTTGGCAACAAAAAAAAAAGACAAGCCCCTGAGGTTTGGCCATTTCCTGCTGGTCTGAGGGCATATGGGCAAGGAGATAAATTTAGTGATCTTTCTGGGAACTGGCATGAAAAAAAGGGAAGTGTACTGCCAGCACCCTTTTTAAACCATGAGGGTTGAGGAGTTAACTGCATAAAACCCATAAAACTACGGATCTCTTTTCCTGTCTGCAAATACTCCAGTTTCTTTCCGCCCGGAAATCCCCTTGCTGTCTTTAACAGGCCAGCTGTAATGATTATGGTAGACTTCTGCTCCCTTTGGTGAAGTGGGATCAAGTGATTGTGGGGATCAGGAAAGGGAAATGCTGGAATCAGGCTGGGACACCTGAAGGGATTTTCCAGGCTGGATGGTAGTGTGGTATTGCTCAACAGACAGTGGGCCTGGAAGGAAAGCTGTCTCTCCTTGCTTGCCACTGCTCAGCCACAAAAGTGCCTTTCACTGGGGACTGGTTGCTTGGTACCCTAGACCATAGGCAGGGAAAAACTTCCCGTGGTGAATGCCCTTCAGGTGGGGGAGTCTTTGCTTTGGCCGTGGGTTTTGGGGGCTGCAGACCTCGCTGTGGCCTGACAGAATGGTAACCAAACCTCTCTTGCTGCAGCTGACTTCAGCACTCCCAACATAACGGCAGAAGTGTCCGCCGAGTCTTGCGACTCGACTGAGATGGTGATAACGTGTTCTTCTCACGGAGGGTTCCCCAAGCCCAGAATCTCTGGAGCCCTCAACAACATGTCCGTGGAGTGGAATGCCAGCTGGGTGTCTGAGTCCAGCTTCAGCCCCTACAGTGTCACTGGAAAACTGGTGCTCAACGTGACCAAAGACGTCAACATCTCTTGCTCCGTTGAATACAGCGGCTTTGCCAAGTCCACCAGTTTGCTTCTAAGTACGTTTTATTAATGTTTTTGTAACAAATGCATTTTGTTGAATCTGCTGAGTTGCCTCTCTGAGAATGCAGTAGATTTTGTGCAAGTGTTCATGCAAGGATCACCCAATGATCCCGCCTGTGAACTACACACCAAAACATTTTAGAGGTTGGAAGATAGTCGGGGTGGGAAGGGAGAGTTACAGCAGTGACTGACAAGCAGAGACAGCTCTGTCTTCTTGCTGCTGTACTGCAGCTGGGCTGAGAGCTGAACTGGATCCTGCTGTGATCTGGTAATGTCACTTTTGGTGGCTCCCACAGGCTGCCACCATCCTGTGCCCCTCCATACCAGCATGGTCTTGCTGCCAGCTGTGTGACACAGACCTGGTGTTTGAACAGAGGGACCAGAGAAACATGTGTGCTTTAACAACCACAGGCTGCATTATAAAAGAATTTCCTCATTTAACAAGCATGTTTGTCCCTGCTTCAGTGAAAGAAACTGTCAACTGGGGTCTAGACAAAATTCTGCTTTCAAATGTAACACAGGGTTAACTCATACGAAAAGAATTCCATCACTGAGCATGGCTTAGAAATGATGGCATAATAGATAAGTCTGTGCTTTGAAAAGCTTGAAGCACAAGTGGAAACAGCATGAGGGAAGGCAGCACACTACATTCCAGATGTTTTGCAGTAGAAGGGGATTTGCAAGAAAATTCATGAAGCCAAAAGGATTTTTTTTTTCATGTTGTTACCAAAAAAGTATTCTGAAATATCTCTGGGCTTGATGTTTTTACTGTAGAGATAAGGGCACCTTCAAGGGAAGACAAAGAAGCAGTATTTTTCCTAGGGAATTGTACCTTATTCATCAAGGTAGCTTATTCATCTATCTTACTAAAATCAAAGGGGCTTGTGAGGAGAGGTGCCATTCAGCTTCTGAACAAATGCCAGGAACTAGTGCTTTGTGAATATTGGCTATTGCTGGATGTAGAGCATAATGTCCCTAATGAAGGGAGAATAAGGTTATGAATAGCTCAATACATAGAAACAGAGAACAACCAAAAAAAAAAAAAAATCAGTAATCAGAGGAGGGTGCAGTCAGCAGTGACACAGCCACAGCAGTCACAAACCCCCCACTTTTTTGACTTTTAGGATGTGGAACCACTCCCATTTTGGTGTAAACGATCCTCCAAACAAACCTTTCATGCACACTGAGTTACAGACAGACCAGAGCCTCTGGTAAATGCAGAAGGCAACCCCTTGAGCTGGAGGTTTGCATCCCCTCCTGAGGGGAGGACTGAAGAGCAGATCAGGCTAATTAACATCTTAGGAGGGGAATGATGCTTACCTGTGCCAGAGCAGATGGTGGAAGAACTGAAGGTCTGTGCACACAGGTCTGCAGACCTATGGGCTGGCAGCAAGTCCTGTCCTATACAAGAATGGCCCAGTATCTACTCTACAATCCCAGTGGCAGAATGGGATTTTCCACCATCTCCAATGGTGAAAAGCCAAAGGCTTCAGAAACACTGAAAATTAACTCTGCCACAACACTGTTCCTGCCATACAGAAAAAAAGTATATTCTAGACTGTTAAATGCATTTTCCTTCACCTGTGAGGGAGAATGGAAAAGGAAAGGAAAAACATTAGGCATAAATCTGATGAAAACAGTAAGGAAAACTGCAAAGTACCTTTGAGAACAGAAATTTTCTAGCTTTGAACTCAGACTTTTTCACCAAGCCTTGCTAATTTCCCTGAAACAGCTCATGTGTCTTTAAATATTTCCTGTCTCAGTCCTGTTCTGGACAAAGAAGCAGCTTTTTACGTTCTGTGAATGTGTTAAAAATTTCAGCCCATAGCAAATGTGGGTGAATGGAAGAAATTTAGGTGCCTGCTTTGTTTGTTTATTGAGTAAGTCCATTTTCAGGCTGAATAGCTGAGTTAGAATTTGGCCAGAACCCCTGAAATTCACATACCTGCTCTTACATGAAAATGCCAATATCCTTTAAGGCCGTTTATTTATGTTTTATTTCTCCTGTCTCAGAAAAAACAAACAACTGCGTTGTTCCTCCTGTGCCTCCACCTTATAATGTCATTACTGCTTCAATTATCATCCTTATCACCTTCATTCTGGCTATCACCCTGGCAGCAAGATACCTCCCAAGGCATGGTAAGTGCAGCTTCTTTTTCAGCAAGGTGTCTCAGTGCTGATGAAGTTTCTATGTAGGATACACATTTATAGAAACTTTACTGTCACACTAGGGATTTCTGTACCTTCTTCTAATTTTTTCCCCCCCTTTAGCATCCACTGTCACAAAATCTAAGTCTAGCTCATGATTTTCCTACGTTTTGTGTGCAGGAAACACAAAAGTTCAGGTTTGAGAGTGAAGAGGTGACAGGCAGTTTTGACAGCAGATCAAAATATTTCCAAAATCAGGGATAATGAAGAGGTTCACAAAGGTTCATTTTTATGTCTTAAGATGCTTTAAGATGCTTTAGGATGCCAAGAATCTTGGTGATCATGATAGATACAGCTGAGCACTGAGAGTTTCAAAACTGGATCTCTCTCCACACCCTACATCATCCCTCAGAAAGTCACTGAGGCAAAGTAACAAAAATACCTAGTGTTAGGGCCACAGGAAAGACTTCAGCAGAGCAGTGTCCCACTTTTATGAGAACACCAACCAGGAGAGTTAGATTTGTATTCTTTGTACGGCCAAAAGTGGCACAGGTAAAGTGTCTGGTCCCATCTTATGAAGCCTTCAGTAACTCCAGACAAGTCACCAAGAGTTTTTCAATGGCAAAGGGGACCACAAATATTTCAGGGTTAGTGGAGAGCTGAGTAATTTACTTTTTTATCTTTAGAAAAATCCTATCTGTTAGCTGTTGCTCCTCATCGTGTCTAAGCTGACCTTGCCAGAAAGTCCCTGAAGATGTGGGCAGGCATTTAATAGATTTATGAAGGCAGGTAGGATTGAAAGTCAGCAGCAGTAGGTGCCTTATCCACACCCTGTGAGCAGCTTTGCAGAGCAGTCCTGGAAAATGACAGCAGGCCTTGCAAATACATGAGGATAAATAACACCCAGCTGAGTTCTGTCAGCTTCTGGGGAAGCCACATCTGGGGCCAAGAATCCCACACTGAGGGCTCTGTGCTCACTTACACCACCTGGCTGTGTATTCCCTGTTGGAAAAGGTCATTTTCTGGGCAGCAAGGGCTCAGCCCACTCACAGACACCTGTAAGTTTGCCATGCTTGTGTCTTCTGATACCTCTGCTTCAATTTCAGACAAATTCACTCCCAAGGCAGATGTGTGGAGGTCTCATTACTGTTTTTCTTTTCCCCTCTGCATCAACCACATCCCTTCAAAAACCAACGTGACCATTGAGTCAAGCTGGGCTAATTTCCTTTCAGTGTTTTACCACAAAGAAAGGAAGTTTCTGGAAGGCTGTGACTCTGGGTCACACCTGTGCACCTCCTCATTTTCCACCCCTGTGCCCTTATGACACCAGTGCCAGTTCTTCTCCCCTGCTGTTCCCTGGGGCTGTGTCAACAGGAAAGCAACAAGCAGGCTGAAACCAAGAAAATCACAGTTGATCACAGCCTGTGCTGTTAGCTGCATGTATAATGAACTTCTAATTATAGGAGAAAATGAACTGGAATCGGAAGGTTTGGCTCTCAACAAATATAGGCTGGAAATTAAAAGGTTCCTTGCCATTAAATTAGCAAGATCCTGGAGCACTCTGAAATAGCCTTTGATATAGGAACTGAGTTGCTTTTAAAGCAGATGTAAAAAGCATACCCATGTGGTAAAATGCAATCACCTGCAAGCAGCATGGCACATGGCCAAATTAACTGGAATTTCCCTTTTAGTCCCACTTCCATAATATGCACAGGGAGTAGATTTGCTGAGTCAGGTGGTGCTATTTGGTTCAGCTAATTTCTAGACCAGACATGGAAGAAACTGTAAAAGAAACTGCAAGAAGTGTAAGAAACTGAGGCCAGAGCTTCCATCCAGCTTTCCAGTTTGTGTAGTTGTGCCATTTCAATGCTGCTGTGCATGGCCACTGTCTGGGAAAGGAAGTATCTGCCCTAAGAGGCTTCCTGTGGGTGCTGCTGCAGGTCACCTCTCCAGAGCTCAGAATAGGTCTGAAAGTATCTCAGTTGTTCTGGGCTATGGAAAGCTGAGTCAGGAGTTGCTAAGAGCTCAAAAAGCCATGCTTCAGAGAGCTGCAGTGTGGGAGGGAAGAATAGAAAGGCAGAGCAAAACAAAACGGAAGAGTTCTCAGTTACGTGATTGTTGTGGTGGCCAGAACAATCAGGTGCTTTGTTGAGGTTCACAGCCGCCTACTCTGAGGAGCTCACAGCCTATTCTGCAGTAATTTAAAAATGAAAACACAAAGCACCAAGATTAGAGATCACCTAAAGAATAGTGGAGGATTCTCATTGCATAATTTGTGCTAGCACAATTGTACAAGATTCAACTTGAACCGCTAAAATTCAGTCATAGATGGTGAGATATTAAGGGGATCTGCTTAATCTGAGGTCCTCTTAAAGCACTGAAAGGGTTTGTTGCTTTTAACACAGGAATTCTTTCACTCCATAGGTAAACTGCAATTAGTGATATGTAACTTCCAAGATTATTTCCCTTCTGACCTTATTTCAGCATGTAGCAACCTGTTTTTGTGCCAGGCTGAGGTTCTAGCCCCGTGCTAACGAGAGCAGTTTTATCCATATGACAGTGTATAGATAATACTTATTTGTAACAGAGCTCTCTATCAGGACCACAGTCATATACTAACAAGGGATCTTCTTTTTCAGTTTGTTCTCAGTGTTGCAAGCGCCAGGATTCGGTGGAAGAGGGTGTGAAAGAATGCACAAAGGCACCCATGAGCTCTAAAATGACATCTGAAACCTCATCTGTATGACCAGATAGCATTTGCAGGTAGTTTTCTTCACTCTTCTCTTGGCAAAACAGTTTCTCAAACACCATGACATGCTTGTGCAATGTTAGCTGAAAACACCATGTGTCATCCAGGTGTCAGATCTGCAGTGACATCCCCTGTGCTCATTTTATGGGCCTCACAACTAAACACTGGGCAGTGTTTCAGTGCCTGTCCTGCTGGGCTCATTTGTGAGTTACTCATCCCTACCTCAGGTGCCACACGTGGCTGCACCCCCCAGAAGTTCTGGCTGATTCCCTGTGAGCCTGATCTGATGCCTCAACATGGGAACATCACTGATGACAGAAATTGAGCATTGACCAAATGGTGGCAAGGGAGGGAGAATAAAAGAACAACTCCAGCTTTCCCAGTGTGATCAGACATGCCAGTCCACTTCTGAGATATGTCCATTCCCTTCAGCAGCTGGAGGAACAGAGAAGGAAAAGTTTCCTTCCTCAAACTTGCCCAGAAAATACTCATATTTTAAAAGGAGTTACTTTTGATAATGGGGTGTTACAAAAGATGGGCTGGGGAAGTCTGGCTTGCCAAGGTTTTATGATTACAAAGGATTATATTTGCTTTGGCTTGAAAGCTCAGCAGTTTTCAGGGCTGTATCCTGCAAAAAGACACTTAAGTGAAGATTAGCAGCTAACTGTTCTTATTCACATCATTATCCAGGTGAGTGCATTTCCTGCTCTCACCACAGCATGCAGAATTGCCAGGGTAATGCCCTAGAGCAACAGCTGTGGGATCCTGGAAGTCACGACTTTGTCAAACTGTGCACTGCAGAATCTAAAAGTTTAATAGTTTGCAGATGGAAAGGAGGGGAAACTCTCATTCAGGCCAATTGTCTCATTTCCAAACCTGACCACCCACTCATGTTTTCCTCTGGGGAAGGCCCTGTCTGGAACAGATACTAGAGCCTTGGTTAGCATGAATTTTGGGGGGTTTTGTGATGGGAGTGGCAGGAGTTCACCTACAGAATAAACCCATTCTCTTTTGTTATAAAAGTTTGTCAGGATTTTCCTGTAGGTGGATGGTGCTTCCCGACTCCAGCTGCAGTCTGTGGACTGGGATGGAAGCTGTGCTTCCTCAGTGGCTGACTGCCATGTCGTGATGCACTGGGCCATGTCCTAGCGCTGCTTAAATAGGGAAGCACGTTCATTAGTCATCCTCATCTGTTCCCAGGGATTTGCAGGGAGCATGGGCCAGGCTGCAGCTCGCTCAGAGCAGCTCCGAGTTCCGGCACCAGGAGCCCTCTTGTGGAAGGCTCCCGCAGGTGATACCTGTTTGTCAGCTCCGCAGCATTACAGGGCTACATTTAAGGTGTGAAAACAACAAAAAAAGAATCAGTGAAATCTTTTCCTCAGGTTCTTCACGCTGTGCATCCCGCACTGCAGACTCCACTGTTGGTTGTACAGCGACGCTTGCTGCACGGCCCCTTTGGCTCTCTGCAAGGGGGTGGCAGCAGGAGAAAACTCCGCTCCCCACGGCTGAAACACGACCTCCTGTGGACCGATGCAAACCCCCGGCCACGCCACGGGAGCTGTGCCGTGGCCTCGTCACAAGGAGGTCGCTGGGATTCCAGGACCCTCCGTGTTCCTGCAGCGGGGCAGAAGGATGTCACCGGTGGCACACCATGTCAAGACTTCAGCAACCTCTGGCTTGATGCTGCCTCTGTGAGAATCAGGGGCCTGCAGAGCCCTAGCAGGGTGCCCATGCCCTCCTACCCCTTCAGAAACACGGAGCTGCCCTTTGGGACACCCCAAATCCTGACATGGAATCTCGTCAGTTTGTGCCTCCATGTTGCGAGTGGGAGCAGCCAAAACTTCTTTTATATTCAGCCTTACACAAGTATCTGTTCTTCCTGCTGGAGGACTTTGGATTTGGACTCGACCATTACAGATACACATCCCTTCCCCCCTAAAGAGGAAACAGTGGACACATTTTTCATGAAAAAAAGACACTTTGGAAGTGAGTCTATGTGCCTCATGCTTATTTGCAGCGCTACGAGACTTTTTAGGGAACGATACACACTGACAGCACTCCTAAGAGCTAATTAATATTGCTTACCTACTGCAGTGGCACAAGTTCTCATAACCTTTCTCTCCTGAAAGGACAGCCTTGCCAACCCAAGCACCGAGCCACAGCTCCTCCATTCAGCTGCTGTGTGAGGGCACACAGGGCCAAGCTTCCACGTGCATTCCTTCCCAGCCACACCTGTACAGCCCCGTTGGAATTCGTGTGACAGCCACTGGTGATCTCGTGTGTATCTGCTGTAATCAAATGTAACTCAGGGCCTTGCTTCATAAACATGGGTCTATGTTTTCCCTCTCACTATCCCATGCTCTCTTCTGCTCCTGACCAGTGATTGCGCAGCCTCCCGGAGAAGGGTTTGTCTTTTGCTCTGTGCCAAACCTTTCCACATCACCACAAACTCCAGTAACACTTCCAGTAACTCCTTCTAAAGGAATCCAAAAAATTCACTGATAAATATGTCTAGCATCAGGTTATTTGGCTCATTTTTCATTAAGCACTAATACTCTGGATCATGTTTTCTATTGCCTTATGCTGTATTCAGTGAATTACACACAAATGGTTTCTGTGAGACCTTCTCAGCTTCATATCTGTGTCATTGTAGCAAGTGAGCTGCTCTGTTTACCCTGAATGTTTTGTATATAATGTTGTTTCCTGGGGTTCCTCCTTTAGTTGTATTAAAAAATAAATGGTAAACTCGGTTTCCTTTCCTTAGTAATAAAAGATGTCTGTCTATGCAGTGGGTAGAACCTCTGTTATTCATGTTAGCCACCATTTCACAGCATCCAGGTAGGTGCAGGTTCACCTGTACCAGGCACAGCTGGCATCAAGCCACAGCTCTGTCCAGTGTGCTGACAGCAATGACAAAATGACACTCGGGCAATCCAACTTGTGACTTCCACACACCTCATCTCTGTTTGCCAGGGGTTAGCTGAGCAGTGTAGCCATGGATCATCCTTCTCCCTCCACAGGAGGTTCTCTGCAAAAGCAAAACTCAGTGTAAGGTGTTCTCACTGTATCCCTGCTCCTTGCGTTACCTACTCTGAAAGTGGAGGGTCAATCATTTCAGTGCTGTGCTTTTCCTGGGGGTGGAGGGAGTGGGGATGTGAAGAATCCTTTACAGATATATAAGAAACAAACTCCGAACCAATTCTTCACTCCCCATTCAGGAGTCCAAGAAATAAGGAAGTGCAGGGAACTAAATTCAGCAGGAAACTGAGAAACAAATGGCTGGTAATCTTGAGTGTAGCTGGAAGTCTCTGCTTCCCCTTAAAACATGTAGCAGCCCTCCCTTGCACAGAGAGAAAATCCACACAACTGCTACACCTTGGCTCAGCCTTCCCTCTCATGGAAGAACATCCCTGCATCAGGGATGGTCAGGCACAGGAAAATTAGTATTCTTTAGGCATCACATCAAATACCACCAAACAGGAATAGAGACAGAGCAATGACACAGCTAAATGTCATCAGAGCTGCTGTACAGATAAGAGTGTGGGATATTGGGTGGGGATGTAATAGCAAGAAGAAAGAAGATAAAAAAGAAGATGATAAGACATTGCTGTGTATGCACAATGGCAAAAATGTGACTTAGAAAGGCCCCTCTTCTTTTTTGGGTGGGGAGGGGGGGCAAAGGACAACACCATTACTGTCACCAACACATATAGCTTAAAAGAGGAAGAGGAAAAAAACATATCCATACCTCTGTTTATGCAAATCCTTCACTTACACATAGAAAAGGAAAATCAGAGCTGGTTGATGACAACCCTGAAATACACAGGTTTCTTCAATGGAAAAATGAGCTACACTGGAGTGTTTAAAAAATTAAATGCTCACTTCAGGAGTCAGAAAACACAACACCTTCTTGAAAGCAAACTGTGCCAAAAATCTGCTTTGGGTGGGTGGAATACACTCTGTGGGATCAACTGTTCATATTTCAATCAACACTAATTATCTGGAAAAGCATTCAACCAGAACAGATTCTTTTCTAATGAGAAGAACACTCAAAAATCCTGCCTGGATGTAATTCCTTTTAGCAGGAGAGGAAAGAAAGGGAACAGAAATTCTGACCTCCTGCTTTGGGAAGAGTGATGGGCCACCTGACCCTTCTGAGCACAGACGGTTTTACAGTAACTCCAGCACCACCCACAGGTAACAGCTCTGACTGAACAGTTCATCTCTGGAACAAAATAACAGAGCTGGCACCCTCGTGGCTCTTGCCTTTGTTACTGCCTGGGTAGAGGAATGTTTGGTGGGATCTTAGAGCTCTTCTCAAGGAGTATCACTCAAGGATGCTTCTCTAGTACCAACACTGTACTAGCTTAAAGTACCAGCTGTACTGACATAAAGAGCTTATGGACACAGTCACCACTGCTCAATGGCTTTATTGAGTGTCTTGAACTACATTACCCCAAAAATTAAACCCTGATTTCCAAATTGCAAATGAAATTAGAGGCCTTCTTGTTGTTGAAACTGTCCACAGTGCCAAGCCTTCCAGTGTCACCACCAGAAATAAGTCATGTTTTCTGTGGCACCCTCTGGCTTTTATTGAGGAACCCAAAACATGCCTTTTTCAGGGTATTTCCATGTAATTCCCAGCTCCTCCACCCTTCTTCCACTGACTGCAAAATACCCCAAGTACAGTAGGAACCAAGTAAGAAACCACCATCAGCAAGTTGTTCAGGCACTGTCTGAAGAGCAGCTTTCACCAGGGCATAATTAACTTTTGGATTCAGGGCACCTTTAGCACACAAACCATTCATAGGCCCCTTTACCTTGAGTATTTCTACACCACTAGTGGTTTGGACATTTTCAGCAGAGAAATGGGTTCTAGATGAGGCTCTGGAACCCTCACTTCCTCCCAAAGCTAGATGACACTTCCTGGTCTGTAAAGTCTGTACTTCCACTTCTCAGGTGGAACAGGTTTGGCTCTTCCAACCTCTTTGTGCAGTGATATCCATCCCTGAACAATGTTTTCAGCAAAACACTTTTTCACAGGATACAACTGCATTCACAGACAACTTCCATGATCCCTTGACTGAAATCAAGCAGGATCAAAATGCTATGTAGCTTCTTACAACAGAGATTTGGGGAAGACTCAGTAGCTCTTCAATTCTCTTGCTCTCTCCAGCTCTGGTCTTCCCTGAGCATTGCTTTCTGTTTGGCCTGAGATTTCAATCATACTGAGCCTGGATTGCCTAAGGAGAGAAGAGAGAGTGCAAAGCAATTTTATGCCTGTATCCTCCTGACAGAGACATGACTGCAGAATCCAAGCTCTTGAAAATTTCTTCTAGAATTAGTGAGTAAGTTTCAGTAATTCCCATGATCAGTGTCATGCCTTTTTCCCCCCCAAGCCTCCAGCTATCCTCCTTCTTTCCTCTCTTTAATAGGGATGGAAAGAAGGCAGCAATGAAGGAAAGACTGGGAAGACTAAATCAGCATTTCTAAGACTGGTATGTGAACAACACCAACAAGCAAGAGAAGAACTGAGGTTTAGAAAACCTAGTGTGTCATAGTTTCTCAAAATGTTTGAACCCACAGGCCCAGACACCCTCCTAGTCCACGACTGGAAGGGACAGAGCTGTTCCTCACCACTCTGCCAGCTTCTGTTCGTACAGCTCCCTGCGCTCACGACTCCTCTTCTCCTGCAAGGTCTCACCAGCCAAGCCATACATTGCCATCAGGAGGCCTCCTGCAGGAACCCTGAAGGGGGAAGCAGAGAAGTCACCAGTCACCCAGGGGACACACAACAGCAACAACTTACTGGCATCAGCAAAAGGAGCATGGGGGGCCCAAAACCCACATGACACCACAGACTAAAGTGCTCCTGTTCTATGTCACCCACCAACCACAGCCTCTCTTCAGCTGTGACTCACTGGAGCCCTGGTGATATTTTCAATTTACTCATGGCACACAGGACAAAGGAGTGGAAGGATTTATGGTGGCCAATGAAGATCCCATAGAACACCTAAACCACATTTCAGACAGTGACACCCCTGCTCAGCTTCCATCCAGCTCTGGAAGTACTTGTGTTTTCACTGGTAAAGCTCCCTAGGCTGCTTCCAGGGATGCTCACAGCTGACACCATCCTGATGGTGACAAGCAGCACAAATAAAGCTCATTCTCTTCTTCAGGCAGGATCCTCAGATTCACTTGTGAGGACATTTACAGGTCAGCACTTTGAGAAGAAATCCCAGTCCTGCTTGAAAAATCAGATTTCTCTTGAGTTAGAGGACATTGTCCAGAAGCACAGAGCCTCTGAGACAGAACCATGGGATCCTCCATGCCCCAGGGAACTTTAGGAGATTTATGACTACAAGACACACACAAAGACGTGTCACCTTACAGCCCAGCCACGCAGCTACTCCCTGAGTGTTTCCTAATGGCTGCTGCTTCACGTTTTAGCTTTGTTGGAGCCTATGTTGCTCCCTCTAATAAGCAAACAGCAGCAAATAAGATTCTCTACAGAGAGCACTGAGTTCTCACTACTGAGAGACCAGCAAACACAAAACAAGAAACAAAGAAAAACAGTTTAAAGGTTGGAAGAAAAGCGATCATCATGAGGGATACAGAAAATCCCTCAAGGCAAGAGAGGAAGGGAAGCTCCTGATGCCCCAGCTGTGATTCCAGGCTCGGTGTGTGCAGCAGTCACAACTCACCCAAACACTGTTCCAAACACGACGCCGCCCGCCAGGCCCTGCAGGCCCAAGTGCATTCTGAACAGGGCTCCTGTGAAGGCTGAAAAAAGAACAAACCCACTGAAACTGAAACAGCCCCACCACAGACATCTCACACCAGCACAGGGAGTTGCTTTGCTGCATTTCTCTTCTCCATGAGCTGACATCTGCTTTTACCAGAGCAGAAACCAAGTGCCATGGCCAGTGGGACAGACCCTCACCACAAAGTCACCATGGTCTCGGCACTGAAACATTGCACCAAGTTCCTTCTGCTTCACAAAAACTGCCAAGGTTTTTGCTGTATCACAGAAGTTCTATGAAAGTAAAACCAAGCTCTCTCTAGGCTGGAGCATGATCTTCCTCGTCCTTTTTTCTGTTCAACAACAGCTAATAATAGTAGCTGCCATGTAAGGCAGAAAAGATCAGTAAAAAGTGTATCCAACTGTAAGGGCAATAAAGCCTGTAAAACTGAACAAGCACATCACATACCCAGAGCCCTGTTGCCAAAAGTGGGCATGCAAAACTTAGCATGAAAAGGGCAGCCTATAAACAGTGGGCTGAATTGTTACCAAGAGTGGAAATAAAAAATGCTTTCCCTGTTAAATAGGTGCTTATGAGAACAGGTTATGCACCAAGTGTTGCCTTTACCCCACACAAGCAATTTTCACCCAAAACACTCCAGCAAGTGTCTTGAAGATGAACTGATAACCACAAAAATCCCCAATGGTTTCAGCAGTGCATCAGTATCTCTGTTAGAAATAAAGGCATGCAGCAGGCAAACAACAGAGCAAAGTCAGTGGAACAAGAAGCAAAACCCAAGAGCACAGAAGCTGCCCAGTCCCAAGGGATGTGGATACTTGCTTATGCTGTTCTGCTACCACCCTTGCTAACAAACAGAAGCACACAAGGTTACAGCACTCTTACCTCCTGCTGCAGCAAAATTACTGATGGAGGTTTTGTCGCGGTACGCAGACAGGCCCGTGCTCACCACGCTGCAAAGGCAAGGCACAGAGGTCAGCAGCTGCACATGGAAAAGGAGAGGTGGCAAAACACAGCCTGAAATAAAGCTGGATTTCATTAAGCCAGCCCTCAGGTTGCCTCTAACTGCCTGGTGGCCCATCTGTTTAGAGCACACACATGCCAGCCATGACTTCTGTGACTTTACTGTGGGCAGCTGCACAGACACAGGCCAGGGAATATCAGAATTCCTGAACTGGATCTGAGATACTCGTTTTTAATCAACCATTTTTCTTTCCTATCATATAGAATCATAGAATCAGAATGGCTTAGGTGGGAAGTGCTGTTAAAGGTCATCCAGTTGCAAGCCCTCACTGCGGGCAGGGGCACCTTCCACTGGACCAGGTTGCTCAGAGCTCCATTCAGCCTGGCCTTGAAAACCTCCTGGGATGGGGCATCCACAGCTTCTCTGAACTACCTGTTCTAGTGCCCAGGAACATGTAATATAGTCAAGGAGAAAAGAATTTGAGGAATGAAAAGGTCCTGTCAGTCAGCCAGTCCTGATGTAGGACGTTTACCCCAAAAGCTGCTGCACGTGTCAGTAAGATCCTGCCTGGCAAACAGCCCCAGTACAACAGCCTCAGTCACACTCGTGACATCAGCAGGGTCACCTACTCTTGTGGCAGCAGATTCCCCTCTGGGGTAGGTAAACCAACTCCTCCTAAACATCAGCTAAGCCCCAAAATACTGTTCTCAGTTCAGCAGCCACATATTCCCCAGCCTCCTGCGTGGCATTGACAAGCCAGCAGCAATCCTCCTCTCCTTCCCAACACAGATAAACCCAAACAGTTTGGGGTTTAATTGTGAAACCTAAAGTTTTCACAACTGCAGGACGAAATTTTCCACTTGGGTTTTACAAGAAACAATGTTGAGCAGCAAACAGGTTCGTTCAGAACCTTTTCCAAAGGGCTGGTGAAAAAGGGGCTGATCCGACTGCAGGGGAGACACCTGGTGGAAGATGACGAGGTTACATGTCAAATCCAAAGAAATCCAGAAAACCCAAAGAAATCAAAAGCTCCGGGAGAGAAAGCAAACAGCACGCTAACTAAGCCTAAAAACAGAGACTAAACTAAAAGGAGCCACAGAAAACAAGAGAGAGTGAGGAAGAAATTTAGGAAGGAACGAAAATATTAGGGAGACAGAAATATAAAGTAATGCCAGTCAATACTGTGGGATCTTAAAAGCAGAAGGAGAACTTAAACAGAACATACCTGCAGAGAAAGTCAATGCAGGTTTAAATTTATAAATTTACTAGTTTGAACAACAGGGAAGGAGATATTTCTAGTTTAAAAGGGCCTTGCTCAGAAGAACATGCTTAGTTTGATGCTCTATTGTCAGAAATGCACTGAAGCACCCAAGGAAGAAAATCGGGGCAGCAGAACACTCTCTGCATTGGTTTTGTGTGTGTAGGAAAAATCTGAAGGCCTCAACAGGCACACAGAAGTGACAGATCTGATATTCAGCAACTGCTCAAGAACAAGACAATCCCCTGCAAGTGTCTGAGGACAAGAACAAAGAATTGTAACACCAGTGTACACAAAGCAGTAGTGACAATTGTGAGTACCACCAGCATATACAAACTAGGAGTAATGAGACACAGCAGAAAGGACAAAAATCAATGTGGGTTAGAAAGCACTTCCAGAAACTGCCAACACACTTTAACACTCCCTCGGAGAAAAAGCACAGAAAGAGACGAAGGAAAAACAGAAAGCAGCTGCCAAGAAAGAACAGTATTGATGTACAAACAGGGCTTTTCCACATTTAGGGTTTGTGTTGATCCATTAGAAGATGAGAATTCTGGGGCAATTCTAACAGGTTAAACCCTCTTTGTGCTCCTGCCTGATCAACCAGACTCAGGTTAAGGCAACAGCAGGAGCCTCAATCAGTCACCAGAGCTGTGGGCACTGCTGGCAAGGACAAGCAGCAGCACGGGGCAGCTCTGCTCCCCTGCCATCAGGAACACTCACTTGAATATCGTGGCGAAAGCCGCCACCCTCCAGCTCCAGCGCCAGCCGTAGCGGATGAAACTCCGGAGACCAGCGCGGTGCGCAGATTGCTGAGGGGACAGAGCCAGGAAAGCACCAGAGAAGGGAGGAAAACCAGAAACTACTTCATTATTATGAGTTCATAAGTATTAATAAATAATAACCATCAATAAGTAATAGGAAGTAAATAATAACCATCTACATTAAATGTTAGGATACCATCAAGCTCTGCTGTTTAACACTGGCACTTAAAAGTTTGAAGAGTTTTTTTTAAAATAAGTGGCAAACAAGAGCTTCACAAAAATTAAAAATTTTGCCGTTAATACCATGGAGGTAAATAAATTTTCTGTTCCAGTGCTTGTGATATAGGTGCTTAGCCTGGGTTCAGATATACCACAGTCACCAGGCAGTGGTAATTCACAGGTCACCACAACAGAGGCCAAATCTAATTGTAAGCGATACAAAATTTACATCAGGCAGATTTTTGAAGGGTTTTTCTTCCTCATAATCCAGGTAACCAACACTTTAATAGAATAACAAACACCCAGACGTTCAAATACATCTATAAAATGTCACAGATGTTCTTTGTTGTGCTGTTGTTCTACAAGAATTTTAAATGGTCTAAAAATGACTCACATTAATAAGACAGGAGTACAATCCCAGTTTGCTACTATGAAGTCTCCCGTCAGCACGCTAAAACTTAAAAGCAGAAAGCCTTTTCGAGACGCATTAATCAGAACGGCAAACTTCGCTGCCAACCTTCCGTGTAACGAAGGACGCTTTTTTGAAGCAGTTTGGGTGACGGGACACGCTCATTCCCTGACCTGCACTCACTTCCACACTCCCAGCAAACTTTCTGTCCCAGACCCGGGCAAACACACGCGTCCCACAAACACGAGGCCTCCTGCGGGCACCCTGTCACCCCAAACCGCGCCTCCAAGGGCAACTTCCAGCACCGGCGCCGTCCCGAGGCCTTCCCCCCGCGCAGCCCGGGCCCGTACCACGGCATCGGCGCGGTTCTGGAACATCTCGCCGTGGCTGCTCTCGATGAAGGCCTTGCGGGCGCTGACGAAGGCGGGCAGCCCCCCGTAGAGCCAGCCCACCACGCCCGCCGTGAAGGCCGACTTGGCGATGTTCATCGTCTCCTCCGGGAACTGCTGCTGCTCGCTGCAAGGCAAGGGCAGCCATGGCCGCGGGGGGCGGCAGCGGCGGCTCCGCGCCACAGCGCCCCCTGCGCCCCGGCGGGGCGCGGCACGGAGCGGGGCGGCTCCGAGCCGCTCGGCACCGCTCGGAACCGCTCGGAACCGCTCGGAACCGCTCATGGCCCATCCCACCCCGTCCCACCCGAGCCCGGCCCGGAGCTCACTCGAGCCGCCAGAGCTCGCTGAGCCGCTCCCAGCCCGTCTGCGGCAGCGGCGCGGGGCGGCCGAAGCCCGCCGCAGCGCTCGGAACCGCTCGGAACCGCTCGGAACCGCTCGGCTCTGCATTAATTACTGAGGAATGACTCCAAATATTTGCCCGTTTGTGCCGGGCCGGGTTTGTTCCCCACGCGAGAGAGGAGCTGAGTTTGGGAGCTGTGATGCCCCGTTTGCATAGGGCAGAGGGGGTGCAGCCCCCGGCTCTGAGGCCGATAAGAGGCAAATGCTGCACGCGAGATGGTGCCTCTCATGGGGCTCATGCCTTCCCTAAAGCAACTGAACTCCCTCCGTTGTGAATTCCTCCTTTCACCAAAGCAGTGAAAGCTCCCCACCAGGGGAGGTGCCTGGGCCTCGCCACTGAGCCTCTGCATATTTTAAGCCATTGGACTTGAATTCCCGGGATTCTTCCCCCATTCCTGCCGAACCATCACTTTGGCCAAGGGCCACCTAAGCTGCAACAATCGAGTCTCATTGCAAGATCTACGGGTGGAAAAGCTGGGACTCTGCAGACCTCTTATGACTCTTCTGATGAAGCAACATGCATCCAGCAAAACTTCGTTTTTGTTCGTTTTATTCCAAAAAGCACTTCATTACAAATGGTTTTAAAATATCATACAGAGCTGCTCCGTTTCTTGGAGTGCTGTCTCTCCGTCGGCTAAAAATAGAAAACCAGAAAACCCTTTCCACTCTGGCACAGTTTTCCTGGGAAATCGGGTTCTTTTAATGCCTTCTTTTTCCTTTGCTGGATGGGATAACCCCAGCACTGGTCCCAAAACCAACACACTGCCCCAGCAACCAGCACTTGATCAATAGGGCCAGCTGCTGTGTCCCTGTACCAGGGCTGCAAGGCTTCTGTGAGGGCACACATGCACTTAAATATTATTGTTCCATGCAATTTCCTTCTTCCCTGATCCACACTGACTGCAGAAGGGCCTGAGAGCTGTTGCTGTCGTCCTCTTCCATTATAATGTGCTGCTCTCTGAGCCTTGAGGCTGCTTTACCAACAGGGGTGCTTCCCTGGGAGGCTCCTGTGTCCCTCCTGCCACCCCACACTCTTCCCGTCTGGGTGCCAGAGAAGATGCTGCTGCCTCCCAGCCTCTCACCTTAAGGGGCACAGAGCATTTCAGGAACTGCAGTCCTTCCTAGCCAAGAGGCTGTGGTGGGCATAAACACAGCGAGCCCAAGCAGCCTGTGACCACCTTAAAAAGGGCAATGTGAGCAGTAGCTGCTACTGTGTGACTGAAGATATTCCCTCAATCAGGCTGAAGGAGATGAAAAAAGAAGTGGCACAGCTGTGGGGAAGAAAAGCAAGTACTGAAGTGAGCAGATGTATTAAAAAAAAACAAACCATAAAAAAACCCCAAACCAAAAAACCCCAAAATAATCCTAGAAAGATTACAGAAGGGGATCAGAGCAGACTGCACTTTTGGAAAAAGGAAGTGCTGAATCTACCTCTATGAATACTTTCTCTGGGTTCCTAAGGATGACATCCCTGGATGTCTGGCCAGGCAGCTGGTGAGAGATAATTAACAGGGGCTCAGTTGTGCAGGCACCCAGCTCATCTGCTGGACGATGAACCATCTCTGTCTCAGTTGCCAAGCACATCACTGATGATGGTCCCATGCTGATCCCCTGTGAGGTAGGTAGGGTAACTCTGCAAGGATCAGTTGTCCTTTCCAGGGCATGTCAAAACCTTACCATCAACCTCTGAAACCCGCCATAAAGATAAACTCTAAGCTATCCAGAAATGTTACCCCCAAATCCCGGTACCTGCTTCTGACAGAGCACTCCTAATACCCCAGGTACTATCACCCAGCTGAGAAAACATTTGCCAAACAAAGGGGCAGGTATTTACTAGCTGAGCGCAGCTCACAGTCCGTGTCCTTTGCCATGACCTTTGGTAAAAAGTCCAGTAAGGCTCCTCATGGACTGAATGGGATTTAGGATCATTTTGAGACAGGTAGCAACTAAGTCCTAAAATGCTAACATCCCTCTTTCTTCTAGGCATGACTGACCACCCCATTAAATAGCCTTAATCCAATATGCTGCTTAACATTCTTCTGGTGACAATATAACCAGGTCCCAGTGCCTGAAAGCAATGTCCAAGTCAGCCTACTGTTGACTTCTCTGAAGTTCTACTATGAAAGTAAGTCTGAGAGAGCAAGAAACAAGTTAATACTGATCTTCAGATTTCCACAGTGATCAGTTTGAGCCAAACAAAAAAACAGATAAATCTCTACAGTTCTGTTTTCAGCTGTCCAGAAGTGATCTCACTGTAGCTCTTCCTTCTTTTCACTTTATAAGTCAAGTTTTGGGAATATTCAGAGAGCAGATGTTCCCAGTAGCAAGAGATGTCCTCCATCTCCAAGTGCTCAGTGATGAACTGACGTCCCCTAGAGAACACAAGGCACAGTCAGGCCTGTTTTCTACAAGAGTCATTAGTTTTGGTTTGGATGTATATCAACTTTCACACTTCCTTGTTTCAAATGAGAAACATGCACTGCTCTGTTTTAATTTTACAATTTTCATTCATGCTCGCAGCTCTGACGTTGCAGTGCTTTTGCTATCCTCAGGATGGTATTTGCTATCTGGGATAATAAATATCAGATTTCACTTATCACATGCAGCTAGAGCAGCACTGATGCATGCTGCTTCAGACCAGCCTGGATAGATAATGTTTACAGTGCAGACACAGCTCCCAGGAGCCAGCTTGTCTCATACTGAAATGAAAGCTCCCAACCTCTGCCAGTTTTCCATGGGGTTCCTGACATGGGTCATGTGTGAACCAAAGAGCTAAGCACAGCATCCTGCTTTCTGCTTCCCTCTGCTTGCTATCACTGCTCCAGCCCTCCTGCTGTTACTGCAGAAGATCAGATATGCTGCACCCTACTAATACTGGGTTGTCTTTGATGGGCAACCCCTTCAGAAGCAGTGTAAGAAAATGTTTTGGAAGAAGACTGCCTAATAGCCAGGAAGGACACACTGCTTACCTCTCTGAAATTTCTTGTGCTATGGCATCATTTTCCTTTACAAACTGCAAGAGCTCCCTAAAATGAAGACACACACAAAAAAAAGGTATGAAACAACTGGCTCAGTGGAGAACATCACCCCTTGGCTGAACTGTTGGGGAGGGTGAAGTTAAGAGTCTACAAGTGAGTGAAGGTGCTGCTCACCTCAGAGCACAGAAGAAACTTCTCTTCTTGATTGTTTCACATCAGTTCTGGACAACATCCTGAAATCTGGGAGCTAGCACATTTTTGGCCCACTGATAAGTTCTTCTTCCCCCTTATCTCTGCTGCTCACTTGCAAATTTAAGAGTCTAGTGCCTGCCGGTTTCAGTGAGAGTGAAAGACTTACTCCAGTGAAACTGTACTCCCCAAGTAATATCGGCAAAGGACTCTCTGGGGGCAGTGATGAAGAGAAAAGACCATGAGCTCCAAGAGTCGCTGCCTGATGCCTCGGAGAGGAGGCATTTCATGGCCTAACACAAACCATCCCCCCTTCCCAAAGGCTTCCCAATTGTCTGGAATGCTGCACGGAGCAGCCTCAGCCCTCACACCTGACATCAGAGAGGTCTGACCGCACCGGGATGTAGTGGACCCAAGGCTTCAGCTGGGAGTAGAAGAACTCCAACCACTCCTCTCCGACATGAAAGACGAGCGAGCCGCACAGGAAAAGGTGCTTCAAGCGGAAACTGGCCGCCACTCCTCGGAAATTAAACAGGTACCTTTAAAAGGGTGAGCAAAGAGAGGCACCTGATTACACATCTTGTGTCAGGAAATGCACTAAGGTGTGCTGGTCTCCAGGTAGCAGTGAACCTTCCCTGGCAGGCAGCAGCTGAGCAGCACACCAGTCACTAAAACAGAGGAAAGGCATTTATTTCAAGCTGCTCACAGGAAAGGTGAGCTGAAGATGAGTTTCTGCTGTCTGTCAAAACTCAGTGAGAAATTCAAGGTGCTAGGCTTTACCTTTGATAAAGGCACCTGCCTGTGACAAACCAACGAGGCCTCATGGACAATTGCCAGCAAGGCATGGAAGGTCACAACATGGATTCTGTGATCCTGTGGGGTCACCCAGAGGTTTTGTCAACCACAAGGAAATTTTTCCCAATCCTCTCTTGCCTTGCAGTGAAACTTTTCTGTTCACTGTTGTGCTTTGCCACATCTATCTCAGGTTATTTTTTCCTCTGGGATTCTGCTTTAATCTGAATGTAATTGTTTCATATTAACTTGGGAATGCAACCCTAGGAGGTTAAATGGGCCAGCACACAACAGATGGACTTCACAGATAACAAAGAATCCACAATTTTGTTTTCAGTATTTTCTGCCAAGTTAGTAAAGTGGGCTTGACTCTGGCAAGGGGATATTTCTCTTAGCAAACTGTATCTCATAGGGATGTTTGTTTGCTTACTTGTTTTCTTTATCAAACCCACATTTCTCCTATTATATGGAAAGCTGTTTTTCCTACGGGTAAATCTCCCCAGAACATAACTGATCTTTGAAGTCAAACATTTTAGGCTGGGGGAAGAGAGTTCTTCCTTTAATGAAGCTATTTTGGGTGAGATGGAGCTTATATATTATATATATATTTTGGGCAAGATGGGAATTACAGCTAAACTTAGCAGCAGCAAACAACAGCAGCAAACAACAAGGAGTAAATCTGAAATTACTTTTCATCCTTTGTACCACCTAGGATCTCAAGGCAGGGACGAGGAGCTCACTGTATAAGGAACTCAGCAAACACATGTAGAGGTGTAACAAGAATGATGGTCTGGAAGCAAGCAAATGCCTCTGTCCAATTCCAGACACAGCTCCCACTATCCATGACCTCAGCCTGTGTAACACCTACACTGAAAGGAGCAGATAAAAGTTCATGTTGACCTACCACCCTGGGCTACAGCAAAAGTGTGTGAGAAGGTCTCAGCCTACACCATATGATGGGCTGGGGAGCACCAGAGCTGGGCAGTGTATGTGTAACAGAAGGGAGAAATCTGTGCTACAGTCTAGTGAAATATAAAATGAGACAAGTCAATCACATTTGCACAAAAACACAGATTCAGCCAAATGACTGAGCTCTTATATCAGCAGATTCTGGCTGGCAGAATCACAACTAGCAGAAGAAAAAGCAAAACATCTGACACACAAGTGCATACACACTAAGAGTTTATATTGCAACCTGTGAGAAACCTGTGAGAGTGTTACACCAAGAAACCCTCATTAAGTAGTTGAAGAATAAAATCCTTTATGAATCAAAACCACATTCTCCTAAACAACACAAAAAGTATGAATTAATACTGGGTCTGCTCAATCAGATTTCAGGTTCTCTCTTTTACTACGTACACCCCGTGGCAGCACTTGCCATGCTAAGCTTCCAAATTTTCAACTGTCTTATATCTGCTCACAACCTCTCATATCTACATAAAGCTGACTGCTGAATTAGACCTTAAAATAAAATGAGACCCTACACCATGCAAGGAAAGACTAACCCACAGCCCTTGAACAGCTTTACTAATCAAAACTCTTACTTGTATTTGCAGTGATCAACCAGTGGAATTTCCTTTGCAGGAGGCTTTCCTAAGGTGTCCTTAAAATAAAGAGAATTTAAAAGCAAAACAAAACAAAACAAAACAAAACAAAACAGTAAGCTTCAAATGGTGATTTAACTTGTTTTCCTTCTCAGTTAGAAACAAAGGTAAGGTGTCAAAAGCTTCCATTCCCACTTCTGAGAAAACCTTCTCTGGTGGGCTAGAAGGATTATAAAGAATTCCCAGCCCTTCAAACATGAAAAAAAGCTCAGTAAATTACACACTGCCTGTAAGTGAATGCCAGCACAAACACATTAAATGATAATGTTTTGTTGGCAGCTACAGAGAAGAAAACAGCTTGGGACAATGGACTGTGTGAAGCCAAGTGTAACTGGATTAGCCAAGACTGTCTGGAGAGAGCTGGACTGTAGACTAAGTAAGAAACTAAAAAGTTATCAGCAACAGTTATCAGAAAGTTATCCACAATAGGATCAAGAAATGGAGCAAACAGAAAAAGGTTTGAAGACTGACAACACTAGAGAGGCAGCTCAGAGACAGAAGGGGAAGGGTTGGCAAATTTTATTGTAGTGGGAGAGGAGGAGATTGGCAGAGATTAATTTTTTTTATATGTTCTCCTTTCCTTGAACAACAAGCGTGGAAGGAAGAAAAGTGTTTGGCCTGCCAGGCTCTAGAGACTCCTTCCTTTCATCTGTCAGAGAGGTGCGGCCATCAAGGGAACTACAAACCTCCCCCACTCTACAGGATCACCCACGACTTCCAACAAGATGTTTCTCTCCCATCAGAGCTATCTTGCAATGCCACCCTTTCTGGCCTTCTCACCCAGAAGACAGACAAACACCCACACACCTTTTCAGATTTCCAAGCCTGGTTTTTAGTGTACTCAGCGTCAACAAGTTCTGGGTTTTCTCGGGACAGCAGGATGAGGGGATCTCTCTCAGGGCTTGTTCTGAAAAAGAAATGCTGTCACTAATTGTCAATCCCCATGACTCAACACAGCTAACAGACTACAGGACTCAAGGCACTGCTTCTTTCTGACCTCCCTGTGTGCCCCCAAAACATTGTGAAGTGTGTGCCACAGTGTATTTCTGTCCAAGGGTATATTAACAGAAGATAATGAGTGATGGGTACCAAAATTATTTGACTGACTATATATTTAACCGTATTATTTAAACAATTCCCAGGACAAATCCTGCTTCCTTTATCCTGATGAGTGCCAAATGCTTTAACTCCCACCTTAGAGAAAGTTAAAAGATGCTCAGCATCTTCAGCAGTGATCCCCCTGAGAGGACTTTAAAACAAAGCTGATAAACAAGGTTATGACATGCCTGAGACATTCCTCATCAGCTGCTGAGCCTACCTGGAAAGCCATTAAATCCTTCGCTATTGGGGAAGGGGAAGAAACAAAGTATGGGGTTTAACATTGTTTCAAACTGTCACTGGAGAGAGGCCAAAAAAAAATATCTTCCCTTATCCCCCACCACTCAGGTAACTTAAGGCCAGAATACTTTTCATTCAGTGTGGAGCACTTGCACAGCAAATAAAGCATTCAATTGGCAGGATGCATGAACAGCACTATTAAATCTTTAAATTTGTATCAAGCACCTGCAGTTCCCTTCACAGAACAAAACAAGCGGGCTCCTGAGGTGACAGTTTTAGTCATTAAGAAATAATGTGGCAAATCCATCACAACTTCTGTTTCCAATATTAGGTGATTATAATAAACTAGTTGCAAATGACAGTTCTTGTGGAGAATAACTAATAGTGCAATGCTGTACAACATGTCTCACTTTCCTTACTTTTGAAAAATACACTCTGAAGTACACTTAATTAGGGTTTAGGTCTAGGAGACATGGAGATTTCTACATACAGAGAGCTGTCACAGCCCCTGTTGGTAGAATCTTCTGTTGCAGGAAAAAATGCTCACCTGGATCCTCGGAAATATCCCTTAGAGATTTTTTTCTCCCATGGCCATTTTTCTGCAGATCTGAAAATATTTTTTATACATGGCAATAAATGATTTAATATAACCGTGAAACAACACTCTCATTAGCTTTCACAGCATGGTGTCTTTTTCTATTCTTCATTTTTGGTGGAAATCACTTTCTTCATTATAGCATAAAAAAACTCTCAGCCAGCTCCTATGAAACAGGTTTTCCTGTAAATATTGTGTTTAAGGCAACATAATATAGGCTACTTTCCAGAACACCTTTCAGGCAAAACAATGTATTACACACAGCTCCCCACCAAACCCTGAAGGGTATTAAAAGTTTACCTAAGCTTTGAATCCACTTTTTGTGCTGTGGCTTTATTTTGCTGTAGTGAATATGGATAGTGAAAAACAACTACAGAGTTTCTAATCAGTCATTTCCCTCTACAAAACAAAACTACCAATCAGGCAACAAAAAACCCACCTAGTGTTTTGCACTTAAAACACAGGAGTTCATTGTTTTTATTTATCACTTTCATTTTAAACCTAATCAAGTCCTTCAAAATAGCTGTTCACCTGGGTTTTTTTCTGCCAGTGCAGTCACCTGCCTCACCACTTCTCAGGGAACTCTGCCATACTTTTCTACTGCACCTGGTGGAACATGCAGGTCCTGACCCCCAAGCTGATCTACCTGTGCAGGTCAGGATTTGCATCTCCTCACAGTGAAAACACAAGGATGAGTAAATGCTTTGCACCTCCATTACACTACAACACATTAAGCTTTAGCTATGAATAATCACATGGATCTTCAGATTTTGAAGAGCAAAAGATCCAACCTTGCATTGGGATGTCAAGTCAATTACACAGAAGTGATTTTTGCTGTTTTGTTTCTGTGCTCACTCACTGTTGCACACTTGGTTTGTCACTTTCCATGGGATGCAGCCCCTTATTCTGCTAACAAGTCAAAAGATCCTGCCAAAATGAAGACTCCCAGCCAGAAATGTCTTCTGTTTAGCCCAGTAGTGACTCTTAATTCCTAGGAATGATTCCAGGTTTTTCTATTGCACAATGACACTCAAGTAAAAGCAGATCTAAAGAATGCTTTCCTTTAGCCTTCCAGTAGCTTATACAAACATCCTGGATCATCCCTGCAGTGAAAAAAACACAGCTCCTAGAGAAGTAGTGGAAAAGAAAGAATATTTCTGTATGTCAGGGGAGATTTCTGCAGGCAAAAGATAACTGCTACTTTATTGACAAACCTGCTTTCCCCAAACCTGATAGCAATCTGGCCCTGACAGCATGAAGGATGTGCATAGTTTGTCCTCTGCATTCCTTACTAAAGGGTTGCAAACAGAGGAGCTAATTATAACTTCCAGTGACATCATCCAAGGTTTCCATGGAGAATTCCCATACAGCAGTTAGGCTGTAGGTAGTTAATGTGAGGCACTAGGACAGATCACAGACCAACTTATGGTCTTAGACATCAACATTGGGCCAGTGCAAGATGGATTTTTGTCTTCCGTGAAACCTCCCCCCACACACAACCATTTCCAACACATACCTTCTGAGGTCCTCTCTCATGAGGTCCCAGCGCCCTAAACCTGTTGGGTAAATTGGCCAAACAGCTGGTCCTCCTTCCCAAAATGTCCAGGCAGGATACATGATATCATTGTATTCAGATGTCTTGAGAAAAAGGAGAGTAATGCAAAAATGAGAGTAATATCTACTTTGGTCTACTGACTGAGTCCACCAGTAACAAATGTTCCTTCTGGGAGCTCTGTTGGCTTTCTCCATTATGTCTCCAAAGGAGGCCAAAAGAGCTTTGCAGTCACCATTTGCTGAGCTTACAGAATCACAGAATTATCAGGGTTGGAAGGGATGGAGATCATCCAGCCCAACCCCCCTGCCATGGCAGGGTCACCTAGAGCAGGTTACACAGAAACACGTCCAGCTGGGTTTGGAATGTCTCCAGAGAGGGAGACTCCACAACCTCCCTGGGCAGGGTCCATGTGAAGACAGCTCAGTGCTGAAATGCTTCAATGATTTTTAAAAGGCCTTGTCTTGCTGTGTGATGACACAGGACTTTCATGTAAAACAGCAAAAGAGATCCATGATGCAGTTGATTAGTAAATAGCAAAAGGCCTGAGCTCAACTCACCTTTCCAAAGGCTTGTGCCTATGTGTAGCTACAAATGTTTTCTTCTGATGGCAAGTCAAGAGGCACTATTACCTCCTCAGAGACAGAGGCACTTAGACACACTTTGGCATTAAGGTTTCCAACACTTCAGTTCATTCCAGACTTCCTAGAGATCACTTAACAATTCACTGTAACAAATATCCAGGTCATGTAAGAATTCCAGTTCCTCACTCCTGTTTGGTTGCTTAAGTCCCCCTATATTATCAGAGGGAAGACCAGCACTTAAGGCTAAACTCTTCCATGAAACCAGATTAGAGTCAACTCCCTTGCACTAGTAGTAAACTTCCTACACAATTATCCATCTGTCTGTCACCTGCAGATACTGGAGAGTCCAAGGCCACTGAGGTAGTTAGGTAGGTAGGTAGTGCACATGACTTATGAACGGGGGCTGAGGAATGGGTTTGTCTGTGCACAGGAAGAAGAGGCTTGGGGGAATGTGAATGTAAATGCCATCTCCTGCTACCTAATAGGAGAGTTCAGGAGGAAGCACACTCTTTTCTGTAGTGCAGAACCAGAATGAGTGGCAGCAGGCTTTGATTATAACAGGAGAAATTCCAGTTATTAGATAGTGGGAAATGTTTCATTCTGACAACAGGTCATACTCTATCTGTGAATCCCTGTCCCCAGGGATGCTCAGATCTGAGCAGGATGCAGCCCTGAGCTGTTCCTACTCTGAGCAAAGGTGCTGGACTGGGTGACCTTCTGAGGTCCCTTCCAACATGTATGAGTTGTGCTTCTCCATCTTCTCAGTCGTGCTACAACCAGGCACTGGTTAGAAACCATGACAACTCCATTATCAACTTTCTGAGATCCAGAACAGGACAATACTTCAATCCCTTATACTTTCAGCTCTAGAAAGCACATGGGACCAGCACCCTGAAGTCTTCCTAACACTAGCTGCTGAAATGTGAGCAGTGCCTGGGTCACTGGGTTGCAATTAAGATAGGGCTGAGGTTACAGTTCAGATACCAGCCAACAGTGAGTTCAGAGCTCAGTTTCTTGCAAGGTACTCAGGGGCAGAATGATGAACACAGCTGCAAAGATTAAACTCCTGCAACCTGCTTTGCAAAAACTTGGGTTCTGCTGGCTAGAGTTAAGGTTGTTCAGTGGTCAAGGGGCAAGACAGCTTGGCTTTACTGCTGCATCCAGCAGCGAACATGGTTACTGCCTGTAGTGAAAATCTAGAGAGAATTTTAGGATTGCTGTGGAGTAGGCAATAGTCATGGATCATATTATGGTTCAGATTGCATGAGCTGAAGAATTAGGTTCAGAGTAAGATGCTGCAAGTAATCAGAAACAGAGCTGGGTTTGAACTAGCAAGACCAAAGAGTTCATTGCTTCTCCTTGCATCTTACTGCCTGCTGGACGTCAGCCAAGAATAGGATTTGTCATGAAAGTGCAGGATTTGAGCATACAGGGCATACACCAAGGCAAAGCAAGATTAGCCAAAGCTCAAGGTGTAAGAGCATTTTGCTGGAAAGGATGAGACACTATGCTACAGTCAGGTTTAACAGTGGGAGAGGTAGCAGAACATGCAGGAGGGCTCTTGAGTCTGGGAACAGAGAAGCAAAGCATGATTGCCTCCGTGCATGTGCGCACCTCTGCATATGTGTGCACATTTGCAGGTGGAAAGGGGAATCCAAGAGAAAAGGGTTCAGAGAAGGTGACAAGATTATATCTGTGGCACCACAGAAAAAGGACTAAAATATCCACATTAAATGAGATTACTGTATGACCACTGACATGATCAAAAATCCTTAATACTGCTGGTAAACTATGGCTACAATTTCAACAGAGGTATTGCAGCAAATGGGAGGAATACTGGCACATATCCCACCCAGATGTGTATCATTCCACTGCAGCAGAGGCACACTTTTTGACCTGGAAGAGGAGCTAATGAGGGGAAAAGCTGATCTATCAAATTGATCCGCAAGTCTGTCTGTCAGAAAACTGGAAGCGAAAGGAAACAAAGGGCAAGAAGGAGCGAGCAATTTCAACGCACAGAAAATCTGCAGAGAACCACCCTCAAAAATATGCTCCCAAGAGAAAGAAGGACATGCACATCTTGGAAATGCTCAGCTTTTAAAGGTGTGTGTACCTTACTGAAGGAGAAGACTGGGATAATGGGTTTCATCCACTTGGGAACCTGGGGGTAGTCTCGCACGTTGATCACCATTTCCATGTCAGGGAGGCGGTGGATGATCCCCAGAATGAAGTGCTCAACTCCACTGCATCTGTGGAGAAATGACACATGGCAAAAGAGCTATAAGGAGGCAGACTCCTGCAGTCTCTTGCAGGCCTTCCTCTGCACAGAGGCAGAAGAGATGGTGAGCCTAATCCATACCATGATGCGAACTGGGAACTGCCTACAGCAGCCTCCAAGTCCCACTGCAGTATGGACACCAATGAGGCAACACATTCTATAAAATCTGGCCTGATCTGAGCTTTCTCTGGGATCCCAAACCAACCACACCTTTGTGCACTGTACTGCAATGGTGACACTTTCCTTTTGATGCATTTAAGCCTAATAGTTTATTTTCCAGGCTCCAGCTCCGATGAGGAATTCAGACCTCTGAAATATCATTGTACTCAATAACTGCCAACTTGGCAGTGTTGGAAGTACTCTTCTGTCCCAGCTAGGGAGAGCAGATCTTCTGCACAGCTCTTACCTTGCAGGGAACATGCAGTCCTGCTCACGATACAGTTTGTTTTTAATTATTTGGTAGTGGGTCCCGAGCTTCCGGCTCACCACGTCTGACATCGTCTCCTTGGAAATGCCACCTCGAAAAGGAGCCAGGTCCTGCTTCCAGACACTGAAACAAAACCATCAGCCACTATTATGTACCACAGGGAGGATACTCTGCATTAAACACTGCAGTGTGCAGAACTGGCTTCTAGCTAAAAGAAGTTCCATGTAGCTTCTAGGAGCTCTGGAGTGAGAATTTAAGTCACTTGGAAGTTCCTCAGAGACTCATAGGTCCAAGCTTCACACTTTTACCTGTGTGCTGTTTGCCTGAACACAAAGCCCAGCACAGGTCAACTCTGGTCACTCTCTCACAGAAGTACCTGACATACCCAGGCATGTTTTTCCAGCTCACTTCACCCTTGTGCTCTGGCTCTCCATAAATGATGGGGCACACCAAGACCAAATTCCTTACACAATGTCACGCTGTGTAAACATTAAAAATGTAGGTAACAGTCTAGTTGCATGAAATACCATCACCCAGGAACACTGGGTGAGTGAAAGCTGGCCCAGGAGGACAGGCCTATGCAGCACAGGTCCTGTGACTTCTGCACACCACCAGCAAGCTCCAGGAACACAGTATGGAAGCACAAACCTAATGAATATAAGAAAACAAAGAAGGAGGATCTGTGTCTAAAAGGCCTGTGATCTAACTGCATGGAGCATGTAATAAACAGTGTCAGATTGTAACAGCCAAGGAAACATTCTTTGCTTTTAGGTAGATATTGCATCAGTGTTTCTGTTTAAGAAAACACAGTCAGGGTGATCCCACTGTGCCAGGGGTCAAACACTGGTACAGGCTGCAGAGAGAGGACGTGGAGTTTCTTTGGCATATTAATGTTGAGATATTCAAAACCTGACTGGTCACAGTCCTGGCAACCCTACTTGAGCACAGGGGGTTGGACTTGATGATCTTAAGAGACTGGACTTCATGATCTCAAGAGGTCCCCTCCACCTCCAGAATGGCAACCCTACTTGAGCACAGGGGGTTGGACTTGATGATCTCAAGAGGTCCCCTCGAACCTCCAGAGTTCTGCTATTTTCTAATTGAACAGAAAGCAGTAAAACTGTGTCAGGAATTGCCATTGTGCAGATAGTCTGACCACAACAGCATGAGCAGTCTGGCAGGGATGCAAACGGGATGAGCTTGAGAAGAGGAAGAGAGTTGCAGTGCCATGGCACATTCACAGCCATCCTCACTTCATGTTACTATTGCCTGTCATGATCTGCAGCAGATTTTTCGATGTTGTAACCACTTGGGAAGGTGTTTGGCCCAAAGCTGGGCAGGAGCTGGTGGGATGTATGTTTAAAGATTAGGATATGTCTTTAGGCTGTATCTGGATTGGAACTTAGGCAAGACTGGAAAGCTCAGCTAGAAGAGACTTTCCCTCATCAATATTTCAAGAGCAATGAATAGCAAAAACTCCAAAGAGAGTGTACAAACAGTAGCTCAATATGACTCATCTGACTTTAAAAGCCAATATAGCATTCAAACCCCAAAATGAGTGAGCACATCTGACACTTTTAAATAGGAGGCTTGAAGTTGGGCATCTGCGTTTTTGCATCTGAAATCCTAATTCTAAAGCCAGAAGAAGATGGTAACTCCTAAATTCCTTTTCCTCCTTTAAAAAAAATGCTGATTAAAGGTATCACACCCCCCGTCCTACTGAGTGAGAAGGCAGAAGTGGGTTGTTAAGAGCAATGTCGCCAGCTATGTGTATGGTTTATTGTCCAGTCCATACGAAATGCCAACACACTGTGTGTTCAGCCACAGGGTAACAAGGTGTGTGACCAGCAGCGCTCCCATAGCTGCAGATGTGACACCTTTGGGCCAAAATATTCCCTGGTTTATCCCCAATCCACCAGTGCTGCCGAAAGTATTCCCTCCTATGTCCGGAGACCTGCGCAGTCCAAAGGAAACCAGTCTCTCACCTTTGGTGGCAGCTGCAATTTTCCTTTACACACGGCTCATAGGCTTCCACAGCTTTCTTAATTTGCCCAGTTATCCTTTTCCACTTGGCATCTAAAACACACAGGAAGGAAAAGCCAAAGGGTTCGATCCATCCGCCAGCAGAACGAGCGGCGGGCTGCGGAGGCGGGGAACGGGCAGCGGCTGGGGCGCGCCTTCCATCCCGCGGGGTGCTGGGGGAGCCGCCCCCCGGCCCCGTTCCCCGGCCCCGTTCCCCGGCCCCGTTCCCCGGCCCCGTCCCGTGGTCCCGTTCCCCGGTCCCGTGCCGCGGTGCCGCCGCTCACCTGCCGCCAGGGCGGGCTGCAGGCGGCACAGCGCGGCCGCCACGGCCCACAGCGCCAGCGCCGCCCGCCCCGCGGCCATGGCCGCCCCGCCGCTCGGCCCAAGATGGCGGCGGCGCCCGCCCCGCGCGGCCATGGGAGCTGTAGTTCCCGTAGTTCCCGCCCGAGCGCTGAGGGGGCGGGCGGGCACCGCCGTGTCGCGACAGAACTGCCTGTCGGACTTTGCCTGTCGCGATCGATGGGGCCATGCTGCACGAGCAGCCGCTGTCCAGAGGAGCTCTGAGCGTGCAGCTGGGATAGCCCCAACAAGTGGCCTCCTAGCTCGGCCCTCAGGAGGCCCGCCGGCCCCGCACGGGTCTGGGTGCCGGCCGGCTGGGCCTCGCTCCCTACGGGCGTTTTCTGGGAGAACTTCCCTCAAAACGCCTGGATTCATCAAGCAGTCGGTCCAGCCTGTAAGAGGCTCTTTCTCCTGGCCCCACCACTCGCTGTTGCCAAGGCCTGGTTCAATGTGAACATCTAAAGTCACAAATCTCATCGTTACTATGTAAAGGTTCAGACTGATTTGTATGAATTTCTTTGCAACTTCAGGGCTGTGGACTGCAAGGAGTCATGGAATCATCGAATTGTTTGGGTTGAAAGCATTATTTAGTTCCTGCCATGGGCAGGGATGTTTTTCGCTGGACCAGGTTGCTCAGAGCTCCATCCAACCTGGCCTTGAACACTTCCAGGGATGAGGCATCCACAGCTTTAGGCAACCTGTTCCAATGCCTCACCACCCTCACAGTAAAGAATGTTTTACCTAACATCTAATCTAAACCCATGCTCTTTTGGTTTTAGTCCATTCCTCCTTGTCCTGTCACTACGTGCTCTTGTGAAAAGTCCCTCTCCATCTCCAGGTACTGGAAGGCTGCAGTTAGGTCACCCCTAAGTCTGTCCTTTTTCCAGGCTGGACAAACCCAGTTCTCTCAGCCTTTCCTTGTAGGAGAGCTCCTCCATCTCCATATTCATCTTGGTAGCCCTTCCTTAGACTCATTCCAACAGGTTGACGTCCTTCAAGGATTAGATGATCTTTAAAGATCCCTTCCATCTCAAGCTATTCCATGGCTCTGTGAAAGAAGAGAGCTGAAAATTGGTGGTTGAGCACCATCAACATAACATGTAGGATTTTCACTTTGCAAAATGGTTTGTAAGAATGCAGTACTCAAAGCTACTCTCCTCTTAGTGTTTGGTAGTTGAGTTTGGGTCAGCTTGGTCATATTCAGCCATCCTTCAAGAGATGAGCTTATCAACTGGATGCTAGACACAATACCCATGCTGATAAGCACCCAAATGAACGTAGGTCAGAGGGGCTGGGGATAAGCAGATACCACCCAAACATTAATCCAGATGAGCCAATCAATGTTTCTTACCAAGGCTGAATGTGGGAAGGTCTGTCCCAATTTCATGGGGTCTGTGTATTCAAATATGAACACTAAACAGTAATTTTTCCTAGCTTGGTGGCTTTGGATTTCAGGAAGAGGAGCTATGGTTGCTCATTAATAGGAAGCAGCCACATTTACACTGTTTCTATAGAGTGAACTCCAATTAGCCACCAACAGCCTCCAACTCCGCTAGTCATAAAGACCTCTTTTGTGTGGAACTGAATTGGTCCTGTAGGTATTTGTAGATTTGGGTGGAGAAACGATTACCAGAAAACCGACCAAAGAGGAAAAGCATGTGCTGACAAGGAGCGTGAAGGTTTCCCAAGGACTGCTAAATTCCAGAGACCAGTAGTTCTACTGAATTTGCAAGAGCTGATAAAATCCAGGCACCGAGTCTGAAATAGACTTGAAATAAGTCACTTTGAGGGACTTTGAGGGACTTTGAGGGACTTTCTGAACACCTGCTTGGAAGGTGCTAATGCCAGCACAGCCTTCTACTGGAGCTGTCCTTGTGAGGGAATAAGTGAATCTTTGTGTATTATCTGCTATTAATAGTAACCATTTCCTAGAGTGAAAACCTTGAGTACTTCTGGCTGTCTCATCCTAAACTTTTGTTGCACGGCCAAACATTTTTTAAGCAAATCAGGAAAATTAATCCCTTCTTTTCATCTTCTCCTTGAGATCCTCTGTCTTCCTTTTGATTTCTGCACAGGGGTCTGCTTTCTTTCTTTTCCTCTACAGTCCTTAGAACTGCAGTGGCCACAGATCCAACTAGAGGCTGGTCTGAAGACTCCCCCAAAAGTGTGATCCTTAGTAAGGTAAAAACAAAAAATTGCCAATACTTTAAAATATCTATATTTGCCTCCACTGGCCTCACTCAGTCTTAGCCATCTCTACATCACTAATCCACCCATTAGTTCTAGCAAAGTTTTCTGTCTTCCCTCTCAGGTTCCAGACCAGATTTTCCTGCTTCTTTCCTGGCTGACTGAATAGAGACATCAGCGCACTCTTCCAACACCATTTCTGTTTGTTTCTCACAGCTCTCTGCTAGTCTCCTACTCAGCCAGTAGAGCTGTAGTAGTTCACTCTGTAGCAAAGGTTATTTCGGGTACTTTCTCTGAAGCAAATAGTAGGAGTGGTAGTCAGCATAAATGTTTAATAGGCCCTGAGAGCTAAGACTTTAAGATGAAGCTTCTTTTGAAGCTACATTTACAGCCTCTGCTCTCCCAGGCTTTGTATAATGAAAGCACCCCAGGCCACTGTGGTGTGGTTTTGGCATGTGCTGTAGTTCCCCCCAAGCACCTTGGATGGTTGTAAGCCTCAGAACCCCTTGACTCTCACTTCAAACACAGCCTTTGCCTCACCTTCTCTACCTTCTTAATTTCCTGTAAATCCAGAGCTCCGTGCAGGAGCATCTGGCTCTGATCTTTGATACCCTCCCTCAAACACAGCCCCTCCCTCATTTTTTTTCTCTGCCAAATCGAGCATAAACACCCACAAATTTACTTTCATCCTGTTCCATGTGCCCAGAGTGGAAAATCTCTTGGCTGTAAATCTGGTGTCCTTGCTTTACATATTCAACATAGGTTAGAAGAAGGGTGCTCCAAGCTGCTTTTGAGATTGAGTTGAAGAAAACATGCTTCCTAGATGTTGAGTTTCTCTCAGAGCTGTGGTCTGGCGTTTCTTTGCTGCTATCTGCTTGAGCAGGGGTGGCAGCGGGGGCTGTTCTCCTTTAATTCATCCTTTTGTGCCAAATGGAATTCCTCAAATAATGGCAAATATTTCCTGTGGAGAATGGCCATCTCAGCAGAGGGAAGAAGGAAAATGTACAGGCTGCTGAGCTTCAAAACCTGTGACTGACATTACCAAGGCTTCTGGGGATGGGTCCAGTCTTTCTCATAAGAAGCCACACAGCTTCTGGGGAGTCAAGATTGTTTCCTGTTGGTGAGATCCTTGTGGAGCTTCTTTTCCCCTGGCTCTGAGCTGTGTCTCATAACAGCCCTGTGGAGGTGTTGGACTGTGGCTGTCAGGATTCAGGGCTGGCCACAGCTGCAGTACATGGCTTGGGGGTGTTTGGTATTGAATATTCAATTATTTTACGAAAGGAGGGGAATTACAAAAGTGTTAAAGCAACTGGAGAATTGCAGAGAAGCGTAGTTCCAGAACAGGACACCCAGTAAGGGTTGGGGTCATGAATGAAGGCTCAGACTAAGACTCTGCAGGCTCTGCAGAACCTCGGGTTTGGACTGGGCAAAACAATGCTGGAGACCCCAGAGTTTGGTTTTGATGAAATCCCATCGGAGGCTGCCAGTGAAGGAAGTCAGTAACCCAGCCCTCAACCCAGCCTGAGGATTTGTCAAGGCAAAGGAAACAATGGAGCTTCCAAGAAATAGTGGGAAAGGCAGCTGTAGCTCAAGCCCAAGGTCAAAGTTTAAGTACTTGTGCATGCTGTGTGAGCAACACAAACCAACTACATCTGGTGCTTGGGAGAAGATGCAAGAACTGCACTGGTTTCATCCCTTGAGGGATTTGTATGTGCCCAAGGAATCCTGTGCTCATGACAGTGATGAGAGTGTCATAAATTTTTTTTTCCATATTGGCAGCCCCAAAGAGGAAGAAGGACACCTATTTAGTGTGAATTGAGTATGTAAATACAATGATAAACATTGGTCCAGGAATATATCTAAGGCTTTTTATTTGTACCCCTTAAAAACCAGTACAGATAAATACATCTTTCTTGGAGTTAAGAAAACCTAGGACTCCTGCAGAAGGATTAACTGAGTTCTGGTTCCTCCTAAAGACACAGCACTTGTCACTGCCACTGTCATTGCTGCAGCTACTATTTTCCCTGAAGGCCACCACCACTGGAAAATTCCTAGATGTTTGTGACTCCATAGACATTAAGTCATTGGAGTTGTTAAATTATCAAAGCATGGAACTGTAATTGTGAGCATCTTGTGAACTAAGTGACTTAAGTCCCCAGCACTCCTGCACAAACCAAAAACTGGAAAAGACAAATTTGTGGTGGTGGAGCATGGGGGGGATGTTTGGAAAGTAAAAAGCCCTTTGTCTCATCGAGAGGATGCATTCAATATTTGTACCCATTTGCATTTTGCTTTTGAGTCACAGGACATCACCACAAGCTGAAATTGAGCACATTCCTATAGAAAAAGCATTGGCATTAGGCCATGGCTGTAAAGACTTTTAAAAATCTGTTTGAGAGGCCATGTTAACTAAAACTGATCATAAATCACTTTTTGCCATTGCCATTGGGGATCTGGCAAACACCTTCCTGCAAACAGAACGTCTCTTTCTTTAGCTACAGTTGTATAACTTGCAAATTGAATGCGAACCTGAGAAAGATTTAGTAGTTGCAGGCACACTCTCTAGAGCCTTTGACAAAAATTCTGTGCAACAAAGTCCCAGGCTAGATTATGGATATGTCAGTTGGGGAAAACAAAATAGAAAAACCCAGCCTTGTTGGTTTTAAAATGAAATGCAGAATTTTATTGCTGGTGGTTTGCTGAGGACGAGACACTGCAGGATGTAATTAAGGTTCTACTAGAAAATGATTTGCACAGCTTATTCTGTCCCTGTTTCAGTTTAAAACGATTTAGATACCACTTCTCTGAGGCATGAAGAAAACTGATCCTTGAAGTGTTGCAGGAAAATAAAGACA